TGCCGCTCTACCGCTTCAGCATCCAACGATCCTCCGTATTCCACGCTGAAAAAGTAGCGAGACAATTATTCCTCTTCTATATAAATACGAGATGTCGTCATTTCAGGGAACAAGTTTCAAACACAATTTGAATACCCTCATCATTCATATACCGACTTGAACATCAAAGTGCTAATTTTACAGGTACACCCTTGCTCCATCACATCGAAAACTCTTATTAGCCGCAAGTTCCACAAATCTACACATTTATGGTTCTGAAAAAGAACATATTCAACAGAGTCTTAGAAATGAAAATGAAATTAAAACAAATAAAAATGAATTTGACAAAATTGAAAGATAAAATAATAGAAAATAAAAAAAATGTTATGATATATTTTGTTTAACGTTGAATTTTACAAAATTACTGTAGCTTTTCACATTTAGGCAGAAGTTACATTTTAGAACTTTTAAAAAATCACAATAGAGTGACACTTGAACGTAAATTTAGAGTAAATTAATCAAATAAAACTCTAAATTAACTTAAAATCACAAAACTCTACTATCAAATTGGATACCAATTAGTAATTTGTACCAATAATTTAATCAAATAAAATTAAAAAATGGCGCAGAAAGTAATAATAATTCCCCCTCTCAATTTGGGCGGAAATTCATTTCCCACTTTTTCCTCTTCTAATTGGAAAAAAAATCGCGTCGAACACGAAGAACTGAAAACCCTATATCGGCGCAGCCTGCTACCCCGACCGCACACCGACTTCCTACTCCGGCGACCCTCCGCTCTACCGGAGTTCGACTTCTCAGTCTACCGTCTCTTCTTCTCATTGCGTCGCGCCGTCATCTATTTCCGCCGTTCATTGTTAGTAAACGTGGTTCTCCGAACTTCTTCAATTTTTGCATTTGCTACTTAGATAGATCGTTATCTTTCTTTATATCCTAATTTTCATTCATACTAAGATACTATAATATCAACACTCGGTTGTATTACTATTTCTATACTGATTCAGAAATTGAAAAAGAGAGGGAAAAATATGCAGATTCGTGTGAAGTGCAATTAGGGTTTGATTAATGGTCAATTTGGTTAGCTTTTTTTTCCTTTTCAAGTGGGGGGTTAAGCCTACAGAGTTTTTGAAATAGAGAGTAATAGTGAATAAAATTTGTTTCGTATTAAAATGGAAAGATTGTGATTTTATATGGACTAACACTAACAGTGTAAGAGATTATTGTATTGGATAGTGAGGGTGTTATTTTGACAATGACATGGATAAAATCTTTCATTTACTGGTCTATTATTGGATTCCTAATTTAGTATTTAGTATAATTGTAATTTTAAGAGTAAAAACTATTTAATGATATTCTTAATTCTCAATTATCTGAGCAAAATTTTGAAGGATTACTAAGATAAAGTTGCTTAGTTTAATCAAGTTAGACCTACAATTAATATCACTTTTGTTTTAGTCAAATTACTAGGAAATATTAGACAAAATTTCACAAGTGTCCAGTGTTTTGTTCATAAAAATGAATAAAGAAATTCTGGGTTGATGTTACTAATGAAAAAAACAGATCAATTTTGTCGTATAAACGTCCATATTTGGATTCTGTATAGTTACTGTGTGGCTAGTTTTTTTATCTTTATAGTCAAATGTCAAATTAACTGTGAAATTGTTTAGAGATGATTTGGTGAAGGTGTAATGTGAATCAATCAATCTCAAATCTATGGTTGATATTTAATAGTATGCGTAACTGAGTTTTCTTCTAATTGAATCCGAATTTGTAAGAGTTTAAGATATAATCTTTAGGATGATTGGAATTCACTATCACTTTTCATCTTATTAGGAAGAAAGAGACTAGTATTGTGTCCATTCTTTTGTTGTTCAGGAAGTCTACACTTAAACTATTGGGTACCGTGAACTGACAGGGTCAAAGGTTTCCTTGAAAAAGCCGTTGTTAGTGCTCAAGAAAGTCAAGCATATGGATGGAGAAAGTTGTAGTGATGTTGAGTTACAGGTTGTTGGAATTATTTGACACAAGATTCTGTTCAAGACCGGACCAAAGGCCTTCATTTCTAGTAAGATCTGAATGTTCTTTATTAACATTATCCGTTGTTGTACCATGTCCTTTAATATATATAATTGATGATACTTCTAAAGGAGAATGATTTTAGTGCCGTAGACCTAGCCCTGTTTTACATTTCTCTGTTATTTCCCCTCCATTTGTACTTCCATTCAGCTTCTTAATTATTGTTTCTATGGCTAACAAATAAGGATTATGTTTTATGCTTAATGTTCTTATATTTATATGAAATGTTATAACATTTATAATTTATAACTGAAGCATTATTAGCATCTCACTATATTGATCCAATGTCAAATTACCAGACCTCAATAAAATGATTAATTATAGAGTTCATAACAAGTAGTGGACGTGCCGGAGTGGTTATCGGGCATGACTAGAAATCATGTGGGCTCTGCCCGCGCAGGTTCGAATCCTGCCGTCCACGGATTTTTGATAGAATTTTTTGCAAATGAAGGAAGAAACTGAAAATAAAATCAAAAACGCTAGAAGGAGGGGTTGAACCTCCGACCTTGTGGTTAACAGCCACACGCTCTAACCAACTGAGCTATTCCAGCTATGGTTTTTAGAATTTGACTTGTAATTTTTTACATCAACACATTTCTCAATTTATGAATTAATTATAAGTTTACATGAAAGTGAAACTCAGCCTGCCATGTACTAGGCATCAAAATTTGTGTCAGGAATCTATTGAACCTATATTAAAATGCATATGAAAATGAAAGTATTGTAATAAAGTGTGAAAATTGTATACTTTGATGTGAGTATTGTCTTTGAATTGCTATCTATATTAGTGGAGGTTGAGAGCAATGTGACGGTTTGGGGGACAAACTGTTCTGGGGCTGTCCATAAGCCCTCTAAGTCTTCTTTTTACCACATGACTAGCACATACATGCAAGGATCCTCCGCATTCCACGCCTAAAAGAAACGATCCTCCGCATTTCCACCTGAAAGATAGTAAGACTGTTATTCCTTTCTCCTATATATAGAGAATGATGTCAAATTTGTTAATAAACCAAATTTCTTTCTGGCATTTCCTTAAACACCTTTCTTGCACTGCACTTTTTTGGTAAACCTACATTGCATTTTTCTTCCAACAATCCTTAACAAAAAAGAAAGTATCCCTTGCCCAGCAAACCTATAATGCATCTTTCATTGTTTTGTTTCATTTCCATATGCCTATTTTCTTTTTAGCTACACTTCAATTTAATACCATGGAATTTTTGGGTTTTTGAAAAAAAGAGTTGCTGGTACATAATGCATTATGAGGAACAATGGGGAGTGTTGTTAAATAATAGAGTTGCAGAGATGGTAAAGCCATAAATCATCACATATTCTCTTCTATCTGGAGTAGCGTGTAAGATGAATTTAGTGTCATTCTTGACAACTCACAGTGGCTTGTTGGTAATATATGAACCATCAATTTCTGGAATGAAAACTGTGTGGTGTTCCTCTATACCTTAATCTAAACTAGTCTGCTACATTGTCATCCTTTGCAAGACAATGGTTGAATTGTTTTTGAAATTGGTAGAGGCAATTGAAACCAATTAATGAGAAGCATAGCAACATGTGCAAATGGTTCTGATTTTTCAACACTACTCAAGAGTAATATTCTTTCTATGTATTTCAAACTCAAAATATGTTGATAATGTAGAGGCCAATTATAGAAAGATCATTGAGTTGGAAAATGGCGTTTTAGTTTGTCTTAACTCTTAATCTCGGAATCCAAATTTTGTGCTCTATTATTATGTGCAAAATTAGTCATAGAGTGCTAAGAATTCTTCTTAAAGGACGGTAATGTACAATATGGTATACCAATTTAATTTCAATTTTTAAAGAGCTTAAAATGTCATAAATTCATTTCAATTAATAGAGCATTGTAAAAGATGTGTTATATGTGTTGCTGAGATAACGTGTCATCAATTTTAAAGAAATTTTCTAGGATTTTTGTGACTACCAATTTGTTCCAACAAAGTAGATGATGAAATAGCAGAGTTCATATTCCATACACCAACAATTTTGAAAACCATTTTAGTTTATTTTTTCTGATTTATTTCTGTTTTAGTTAGGTTGATTTATTCATGCAATTTTGTCATGATTAGTGTACAATTTGATATGATGTTAAGTTTAATAAAGAAGATGAATAATATTTCAAAATTTCTAAAGATTGAGTGTTGAGGGAGACTAGAAGTACATTAGGATATCTAATGTTTTTATGGAAAATTTGTTGTTTGTAACAGGTGTAGATATCATTTCTTGAATATCGTTTGGTGTCTGATGTTATCTATTAAGAATAGAGTTTCCATTATGCTTCCAAGAAGACTTTGGCGAGATTTAGTATCAACGGTTTGTAAGGGTGGATGGAAGTTGTCCATCTTTGTTGATTGTTCTCATTCCTATCCATTTTGTATAATAAAGTATATCCAATGATGCATTTTAATCGGTTGGTTTTCACTAATGTCAAATGTTTATATATATATATATATATATATATATATATATATATATATATATATATATATATATATATATATATATATATATATATATATATATATATATATATATATATATATATATATATATATATATATATATATATATATATATATATATATATATATATATATATATATATATATATATATATATATATATATATATATATATATATATATATATATATATATATATATATATATATATATATATATATATATATATAGACACACACACACACGCTGTAATAAGCACCAATAATTTGATTGTGATGATAATAATAATTATTAATATGGTGTTTCAGGTGTAGTTGAATTGGTGGAGTTAAATGACTATTAGCCTCAAGAGTAGGTTTTGGCACAAGCTCGCTAGACTGCCTAATTATCTCAAACTGAGAATCGGTTATTGGCACTACCCAATTTCATACATCATTTATGGAGCATGAGGATTGGAGGTAAGCTTAAGAGTATCAATTATGTTGCAGGTATCAACACTAGATTTTACTTGATTATTTCTACTGGTAGCCCATACTATGTTGCACCAGAGGTTTTGCACAAGCATTATGGAATTGATGTTGATGTGTGGAGGGTCTCTGGGAATTGTTAAAGATATTTTTTGTTGTTTGAATGGGTTTGGTTGAATTTTGGGTATGAAAATGTGAAAGTGGATAGTTTAAGATATTGGGTAGGGAGTCACAGTATTTAATTGCTTCCAAACTGTTTGATATAATTCCTGTGAGGAATTTTCACTTGATGTAAGGTCTTGCACTAATGTTCTTCATGCTTATGCTCGAACCAGGAAGTATAAACGGACTATTGAGATATTTGAGAAGATGAGGGAGACTGGTCTTGATCCAACTTTGGTTACTTTATAATGTTATGCTTGATGTTTATGGAAAATGGATTGGTCTTAGAATATAATTTTGGAGTTGTTGTATGAGATGAAGAGTAAAGGGCTTGAGTTTGATGAGTTTACGTGTAGCACTGTGATATCGGCTTGTGGGAGAGAGGGTATGCTTGATGAAGCAAGGAAGTTTTTTGCTGATTTGAAATTGAGTGGATATAGACCTGGAACCGTTACGTATAACTCTATGATACAAGTTTTCGGGAAGTCTGGAGTTTATGTAGAGGCCTTGAATATCTTAAAAGAAATGAAGGATAATCATTGCGTGCTAGATGTTGTTACTTACAACGAGGTTGTGGCGGCGTATGTAAGAGTCGGGTTTCATGATGAGGGTGTTGCTGTCATTCATACAATGGCAAGCAGAGGAGTTACGCCGAATGCTATAACTTATACGACTGTAATAAATGCCTATGGTAAAGCGAGAAACGAGGATAAGACTTTGAAGGTGTTTGGTCAAATGAAGGAGTTGGGATGTGTTTCAAATGTACGCACATACAGTTCTGTTCTTGCAATGCTAGGCAAAAGGTCGAGACCAGAAGACATGATTAATATTCTCCATGACATGAAATTGAATGGATGTCTTCCTGAACATGCAACGTGGAACACGATGCTTGTTGTATGTGGTGAGGAAGGTAAGCAAAAATACGTTAACCAGGTTTTAAGGGAAATGAAAATTTCTAGATATGAGCCTAACAAAGACACGTTCAATACATTAATTAGTGCATATGGTCGGTGTGGATATGAAGTTGATGTTGCGAAAATGTACGGGGAAATGATTATGGTGGGATTTACTCCATGCATAACCACATACAGTGCTCTTCTAAACACTCTTGCTAGGCGAGGTGATTGGAATTTTCATAACAAAAGTTACTTTTTGTTAGTTTTTCAGGCACTCGATGTTCCTATGGATAGGCTTGTCGAAGCAGCTGATTCGGCTTCAGTATGTTCTTCCTTTCTTTTCCTATTTTAATTGTGATTCAACATTGCTTCTGTCTTTGGCATTGATTTATTTTGAAGACATTGAAACAACTGAATTAGTGGCTGACATGGAAAATCAAATAGCAAAAGCGAAAGAAGATGCTTTAAGCCGAAAAGATATATTGGACAAGGTTGATAAGTGGATGTCAGCATGTGAAGAAGCATAAATTTAACGAGTGGATGTAGTATCTTTTACAAAACTGGAATGCATCATAAATGTTGTCATCAAATCAGTGGGTATGTTTTGGTTTTCTTAATTTTCATCGGAGTGGAAATTGACAATTACGTTATGGTATTTATGTGACGACTCAGTTTAGACCGTTGAGGTAATGCTTAAATTTGCTTATCTTATGTTATCAACTATCATTCTATCATATCTTTCGCTGTGAATTTGAGAGAAACTGGATCGTGAATGTTTGTTTGGTTTTGCTTTTTTTTCTTCCCTTTCTTTCTTTTCTTTCTGATATCAAATTTGATTACATAGTTTGATTTTCGTTTCAGTTATGGTGTTGTTTGGCTGCAGTGAAAGATAGTATCAGAGAGGAGACGAGATCGCGTGGTACGCTGATGGGGATAAGATTGTGAGGAATGAGTATAATCCAGCTACTGCTTATGCATTTGGTATTTTCACTTTTTATTTATTTATTTTGACTTGATTTTGTGAGAGATTAAAGGAGATAGATTAATTAGGTGTTAATTGCGTAATTGAAGGTAATCTTGCTTTTGATTTTGGTGTAGAAATTATGGATATTAATGTTAGAGTTTTGATTTAATTTGTGGCAGAGAGAGTGCTTGGACAGCATACAAATATTGATGAACTGTATGAAGTAGCAGGGAGACCTGTTGTGAAAGCAGCCATGGAAGGGGTTAATGGTAGGAAAAATCAAGATATGGATTAATTCAAAACTGTAGAAATTGGAATGTGATGATTTTAGCTGTCAAATGCAAGAAGATCAAACTAGGACTCAATTTGTTTCTGTTCCTACATGTTATGAGTGTGTGCATTTTTTATCGTGTAACACTTTACTAATTTTTTTTCGTTCCAAGTTGGCAGCTGCAGTCCTTGGCAGCGATGTTGTGGATTGAGAAAATGGACATACGAATCATGACCTACAAGCATACAATTTGTTCTGCAAAATTAATATGAAAAAACACTCAAGATTGTAAATTTAGTTTAACAAATTTACCACTCATATCAAGACATGATATACCTTTATATATTGATGAACTATACCATAATGTAGTCATTCAATTTCAACAATGCAAGGAAGGCATGGAATTTCGTTATAGGAGTTATCGGTGAAATTCTATTGCAGGAAAAAATGGTGGAAGGAATGGCTTTAAAGCATGGCATAAGTTTGATGAAGTGCATAAATCATGTTAGTTATATGTCGAACCATGTTAGAGTTTGAAGGTCTGAATTATGAAGTGTGAGTAGAGTTATAGGGTGCATTTAGACACAAATTGGTAGTAAATATGAACCTCGGAGAAGGAAGTGTTATGGTGATAGTGAAGGAAGTGAGTTGAATAGACTACAAAATGAGGAAGTAATTCCAGAGGCAATATGGTCTGTGGATGCAGCCATCTTAGTAAAGAAACAATAATTTCCTCACTGCTGCTATTGTACTTCTTAAAAATGTGAAGTTTTTAGTGGTGTTTGTTATTTCCTTTTTAATTTCTTAATTCCATCTATTATTGATTTGTAATTGCAATGAATATATCCATTCATGGTCAATTAACTATGCAATATTTTTTTAATAATTTAATTATATATTCTATAAGTAGGTAATTGTGAGATGGTTTGTCTTCTACATATCCCATATTCATTAATTGGATTAACCTTGTTTGCTAGAGAGAATAAATGAAGTGGAAAAGATGACATAAATCTCAAATGTCAATTGCACATATTGATGTATTGTTTTATTTTAGTTGAATTTTTAATTTGATGGGATTAAGTAAAAATATTTGAAAATTGTTGCATTTATATGGTTGCACACAAATACACTGTTTCATAATTTCAGAGTAGTTTACCTTCCAATTTAACCAAAATGAAAAGAAATAAATCTTTTCTATCACTAATTATCTTAAACAAAAATTATACGAATGTATGGGTATCCCACTAATTATTTATAAAATAATATCGATGAATGATTGTGATGCAATTATTGTATAAAAAAATTTACACCAACATTACATAAAATATATTTTAAAAAAACCTTTACTATCAAGGTGACTTCTAAGGTGAGAGTTTAATTAAATCCCTCACCCATGTACCACTCAAATTGACCATTAGATAAAAAAAAGTCTACATGGTTTAATTAGTCATTGCAACACTTGATCAAATTCTCTCTCTTCCTGCACAACTTCTACCAATACTTCTAAAGGAGAATGATTTTAGTGTCGTAGACCTAGCCCTGATTTATATTTCTCTGTTATTTCCCCTCAATTTCTACTTCCATTCAACTTCTTAATTATTGTTTGTATGGCTAACAAATATCACTAATTGATATTGATGGCTAAAAGGAAGAAGAGGCATAGGAATCCCACAAATAGAAGGTGGAAGGTGTAAGGGATTATGTTTTATGCTTAATATTCTTATATTTATATGAAATGTTATAACATTTATAGTTTATAACTGAAGCATTATTAGCATCTTACTATACTGATCCAATGTCAAATTATATATAACAACACATACGAGTTAGTCTGAATCAAGCCTCAATAAAATAATTAATTATAGAACTAATAACAAGTAGTGGACGTGCCAGAGTGGTTATCAGGCATGATTAGAAATCATGTGGGGGTTTGAATCCTGCCGTCCATGGGGATTTTGATTGAATTTTTGTGATATTTTTTGCAAATGAAGGAAGAAACTAAAAATAAAATAAAAAACGCTAGAAGGAGGGGTTAAACCTCCGACCTTGTGGTTAAGGGCCACACGCTCTAACCAACTGAGCTATTCCAACTTTGTTTTTTAGAATTTGACTTTTAATTTTTTTATATCAACATATTTCTCAATTTATGAATTAATTATAAGTTTGATGAGATGAGATCAATTCTGGTTGTTGGGTAGTACATGAAAGTGAAACTCAGTCTGCCATGTACTAGGTATCAAAATATTGTGTCAGGAATCTATTAAACCTATATTAGAATGCATACGAAAATGAAAGTATTGTAATAAAGTGTGAAAATTGTATGCATCAATGTGAGTATTATCTTTGAATTGCTATATACATTAGTGAAGGTTGAGAGCGATGTAAGGGTTTGTGGGAAAACTGTTATGGGCTGTCCATAACCCTCTTAGTCTGACCACCTCGAGATATTTTGTTCCAGACTAAAACTTCTTGACTGACTACATAGCTATATTTCTGGAAGTCTTCTTTTTATGTACCTCGCGGCAGGGGATCTATGCCCTAGGCATATCCAACGATCCTCTGCATTCCACGCTTGAAAGATAGTGATTTGTTATTCCTCTCTCTTATATATAGAGAATGATTTCATTTCAGATAACAAGTTTCAATACAATTTGAATACTCTATACTCTTTCACATATTAATATGCGCGTCTAAGTGTTAACTTTGCAAGCACACCCCCGCTTCGTAGCATCGAAATCTCTATCCCGCCGCACCTTCTGTATCTCTCTTTATTTTTGGTTCCATAACGAAACAAATACTAACAATCATCTTCATCCTCTGCAAGACAATGGTTAATTGTTCTTGAAATTGGCAGACAATTGAAACCAATAAATGATAAGTATAACAAATATGCAGATGGTTCTGATTTTTCAACACTACTCTAGTGTAATATTCTTTCTGTATTTCAAACTCAAAATATGTTGATAATGTAGGGGCCAATTATAGAAATATCATTGAGTTAAAGAATGATGTTTTAGTTTGTCTTAACTATCTCAGAATCCAAACCTTGTGCTTAATTATCATGTGCAAAATTAGTCATAGAGTGATAAGCTATATACCTTGTGCTAAGAATTCTTCATAAAGGGCGACAAATTACAATATTGTCAACTAACATAATAGCTACCTATAAGGATTAATGTCTATATCTATACAATATTAATTTCAATCTTTAGAGCTTAAAATATCATCAAAAGTCATAAATTCATTTCAATTAATCAAACATTGTGAAAGATGTGTTATATGTGTTGCTGAGATAATGTGTCATAAATTTTAAAGAAATTTTCAAGGATTTTCGTGACTACCAATTTGTTCCCGCAATAGCAGAGTTCGTATTCCATACACCAATAACTTTGAAAATGTTTAATTTGTTTTTATAGTTTGATTTATTCATGCAATTGTGGCATGATTAGTGTACAATATGATATGATGTTAATTTTAATAAAGAAGATGAACACTATTTCAAAATTAAGAAAATGAGTTTTAGTGATCGTTTTTTCCGTCGCTAAATTTGTCACTAAATGTCAATGTTACAAATCATCTTCTACATAAGCAAAAAACTAATGTTGTTACTGTTATTTTGAAGGAAAGAATTAACTTGATACATTTTGAAAAATTGAAGGATCAAAATGGTCGTTTTAAAAGTTAAGGGACCAAATTAGACCTCGAGTGCAAGATAAGAGACGATGACAACAACAACAATAACAACAACAACAACAACAACAACAACAAGAACAACAACAATTAAGCCTTATCCCACTAGGTGGAGTCATCTACATGGATCAACTTTCACCATAATATTCTATCAAGGACCATGCTTCTATCTAAATCATTAACATCGAGATCTTTCTATTGTTTTGTGATTTTGAAAAATTTGTCACCGAAGAAATTATCGGGTCGAGTTGCGGACTAGGTGGCTCTCTTTAAGACATTTCGCGGCACTGCCCATAATTATGCAAAGCAGTTGAACTATCGTGCCGCCTCCAAGATAAAACAATTTAGTTCTATACTGTACGGTTAATACTTTCAAGGTAGAAAATCAGTCTAGAAATACACTCTCTGATGGTACAAAGACCATTCGAATATGGTATAAATATCATCGTAATATCTAGTATAACGACCAGTCGTAAAAATTTCTCAAACTGAGAGAAATTTTAATAATTCTTCAAAGAG